ATATATATATATATATATATATCAATTTCAACTACAACCAATTTGTAATGACCTCAAGACTCTACACGTCAACTCCTAAAATTTATGTAGTTTGATCGAATTTAATATTGATTTCGAATTCAATCGTAAATTCAGATCATGACTAATACATATGAGTGGTGCTACGTGTACACACAATTTTTTACACAATATTTTACACCCCCCTCACATGGAGGGGGGCCCACGGTGCAGATACATAAACTCTAGTGCAGATAGACACGAGCCATGCTAACCCAAACTATACCTAAAGTGTGTTTGTTTGGGTCGGGCCGGGCCGGGTCAAGAAACCTGAGATGAGAAAATCTTATTGAATGGAGATATCAACTAATTGACCTGGTCGCCGTTCTGTCTTTGACCCCATTTGTGAAATTGTCGATTCCCTATTTGCTTTCCCTTTTCTGTCCTCACGTATTCAATTTTACTTTTCAACCACTTGCCATTTACATAATTATTTAGACTACTAACCCGTTCTCGTGGATATATATAGAACATATCTAACAGAATTTATCAGCAAAGAAGAACGAAAGAAAAATCCATTCCATTTTCCAAATGGGATCCTCTGTTTTTCACACCTTGAGTTCTGAATTTTCCTCTAAGTCATCCTTTGGATCATCACAAGAATCTTGTACATGGGATTTGCAAAATTCACTTCCTTTCAATGAAAATGACTCTGAAGAAATGCTTCTGTTTGGCGTTCTAGCACAAGCTGCTGATAAGGAAATTTCAGAATCCAATTCCTCAGATAAAATGAAGGAAGACGAAGTAAATTCAACACCAGAAGGGGAGGAAAAACCGGTAAAAGAAAAGTCGTACCGAGGCGTAAGGAGGAGGTCGTGGGGCAAATTTGCAGCAGAGATAAGGGATTCCACAAGAAAGGGCATAAGGGTTTGGCTAGGAACATTTGACACAGCAGAAGCAGCAGCTTTAGCTTATGATCAAGCTGCTTTTTCAATGCGCGGCGAGGCTGCAATTCTCAACTTTCCGGTGGAGAGAGTGCTCGACTCGCTGCGTGAAATGAGGCGTTCCACGGTGGAAGAGGAGGATGGGGGCTCGCCCGTTATGGCACTGAAGAGGAGACACTCCATGAGGAGAAGAAAGAAGTGCAAACGAATGGAAGTTAAGGTGGAAAATCTAGTAGTTTTTGAGGACTTAGGTGCAGAGTATTTGGAACATCTTTTGAGTACAAGTTAGAATGCACAAGGAAATTAAATTTTTTTGTAAATTACTTGAATATTATAACTAAATATGTGAATGTACAAGTCACGGAGATCCTCGGAATAATGGCCCAAGCAAGACATTGGACAAATCATGAAGGCATTTCTTTCTAAATCAAAGATTGTATCCAAAGAAGTAACCAAATCAAAAGTACCACTTCAACACCACTGCTCATGCTTACGTTTGGGTGAATTATAGATGCTTGCTAAGAGATTTCACGAGGTCATCTACGAGCATCGAATGAAGGAAGTTTTGCTAATCTATTTGTTTCTTATCTCGTTAACGTGGTACTACACATTGGGACAATGTGACTTCAAGTTTGGAGGGTGGAGTCATATAGTTTGTCGTTATCTTTATTTTTCTTTTTGAGTCCAATTATTTTGAAAAATCAATAAAATTTGAAAAATAGTCTAAACATTTTATTTGTGCTATTCTCATTCGACGACTTGCTTGTGATAATAGATGAATAAAGAATATCTCTATAATTAACTCTATTATGGGTATTAAATCAAACTACCACATTAATTTAGATCTTGCTTTTCATATTTGTGAAATGAGAACATTTTGTCACTTTTGCTGCTTTCAATTACCACGATAAATATTTTCGTGAATGAATAATGTATTAACTATAAAATAGTCGGTTTTCTAGCACACCCTTGTGTATTTACTATGAGCTTATCGATTCAAACATCTAGTAGTAGATATTTATGCTAAAAATACATGGGTAATGTTATTTAGGTGATCATCAATGTGCAGTTAGCAATAAATGATAAGTCAAATAAAATGGGTAGGAAACTGCTTCATGGGCAAAACTCCACTGAGTATGTTGTCGAGGCTGTCATCGAGCCCATCAAAAAATGTGTAAACTCGATCGTCTTGGGTAAGGTTGTTGAATTGCCGGATGTCAGCAGTGCACTTCATCGGATTTGGGTGACGAAAGTCAATTTCATGCCACAATGCATGCAGCTCGGTGTAGTATTTTTCCACAGATCCACCCGCTTATCTCAGTCATGTCACCTTTCTTTGGAAGTCATAGACTTGGGATTTATCATTTCCGTCAAAATAAGTTGTGGCAATCGCATCCCAGACTTCTTTTGCACTAGAAAAATGAATAAATTTCCAATGAGTGCAGGGTCTAGTGAATTAATCTTCCATCCATTGACAACGACATTCTCAGTTCAGCATTTTCTAAAGGACGGATCGGTCGGCAGAGATGAAGGAGTGTCTCCATTAATGTAACGACATTCTCATAATTTGCATCATTCAGTTTTATGCTAATCTGAGGTAAGTTTTCAATGAGTGGGGCTGATATGTGTGTTTTGGTTAAGGTTCCAGAAAGTTTGGTGGTGAGATCTGTAAGCATGGCATCGGTATTACGTGGGGAATCTGTGATGATATTGGAGTCCTCCATGTGTTTGTGAAAATGTTCACAAGAACAAGGTTAGATGGAATCTGCAAAGGAAGACCATGGATCTTGTGTCTTGCTCTCATACCATGTCAGAATTACATAAACAAACGGTATTTTCTTTCTATCATATAATTTCAATATGTAGAATACAGTTATATAGGAGAGTGAATACTCCAATTTTTGGATAATACAAATTGGTAGCTAATTGATTGATTCTACAGTTAAAATGACTAATTCTATGCCTTGAAAAGATGTGATTATATATGATTTTGTTTCCTAAAAAATAACTTCTAACAGCTCACACCAACAATTCAAACTAAAAAAAGGTAGCAATTTCACTACCAACAAACTTGTAGAAACACCCGGTGCTCAAAGTACAACCGAATGCAGAAGCCATAGAGACTACAAAATGTACAAGATCGTAGTACTGGATTATGGCAGGATCAATACGACTAGATACAAAGTTATACAGCTTCAAACGAAAAGGGAGAAGCGCACAACTCCATGGCAAACTACAAGAGAAGTAAAATAGTAGCTTAGAAATATATTGATCTTTCAGTAGCAAGAAAGCCATTTGCAAAAGATATTATTGTAGTTGCCATTAGATGATAAAACATATCAAAAGGAAAAGTTAGAAGTTGACACTCATTGGCACACTTTGCCATGAATCATGCTACGTGTACAGGGTGGGGGTTCACAAAACCCCTACCAACAACTCACACATTGGAGGGGGAGCGGTAATTTTTTACTTTTTTATTAAGTTGATTCCTGTGTATGAGCCCCTACTTCTGTACAAAGAGACTATCCCCTTTGCCATACATCAAGGCATATGTACTACTAAGAATTTTGTTAGTTGTAAATTCTTGCGTAAATCTATCATTAAATCCCCATATGTGGGGGGTATTAGTGCATTGATGTAATTTCAAAATTCAAAATTAATAGTGCAAATGATGCCACATGGTACAATGTAAAGTATGATGTCAAATGTTGAAAGTTATTAGTTCAACCCTAAAATCATCTAGTTAGTGAATGACATGGAATTAAATTTGTCAATTAAAAGCAACAAGTCACTTTTTAATTGTCCTAAATGTTTAGTCAATCAAGTCAAATTATCATATGTTGAATTGCTACAATAACAAATAAAGTAATAAATAACAAAAGATTTGTTGACAGAGAAAACCATTAATTAGTTAAAAACTCCGACACCAAGCTAGTAATTTCCACTATAAACAATAAGAACTTACAGTATGATCCGGCCTAGAAAATCCACTAGACTTACCAATCTAATTCCTGCAATCTCAATGACTCGCTGGAACGTGCTTTACACTTACTCTCGATCTTCTGGAATTGTCAACACCAAGAATGCCTTATTCATGTACTCTTCCTGTGCTCCTAAATTTTATAAGGACTCCGACTCCTTAGTAGATTAGGCTTCATAACTTAACAATTATTAGAATTCAAATTCCTTAATAGAGTTTTACAATAATCAGACTCCTCAACTTGACAATAATTGGGATTCTAATTCAAACATAAATTCCTAATCAATTATTAGGGAATTAGACTCCACAACTTAATAGGTTTATAAATCTAATAGTAGATATTTGTGCCATAAATACATGGATAATGCTATTTACGTGATAATCAACATGTTTATTTAGTAATAAATAATAAATCAAATAAAATGGGTCAGCAACACTTGCCTTAGTTTTTTTTTTTTAACTTTTTACTTTACTAAAAGTCAATATTTCAACGTTAAGCCCTTGTTTGCCATCTATTTTCTCAAAAATCTTTTTTTTTTCTCAAATTCATTTTCGATCAAATATTCATACAATAAAATATTTTACACGTAAATCCAAAAAAAATTCATACTTTTTAACTACACATTCTAAAAAAAATCAGTATTCCAAAATACAATTTTTTCCAATTTTTTTTTTTTTTAATGTTCGTCAAACAGGGGCTAAGTATGAATTCAATGATTTTTGGAACAATAAAATAGTTTCACTATCTTATTTTAAACCACATTATCACGTAATTTTGCCCTTCGAATTGATATTTGTGAAATGAGAATATGATGTCATTTTTGTTGTTTTCAATTACCTCAATAAATATTTTTGTTAATGAATTATGTATTGACTATTAAATAGTCCCTTTTCTAGCACACCCTTGTGTACTTAGCATGAGCTTATGAGTTTAAACATCTAGTACTAAATATTTATGCTATGAATACATGAGTAATGCTATTTTGGTGATCATCAACATGTTTAGTTATCAATAAATGGTAAGTCAAATAAAATGGGTCTATAACTTTTGCCTTAAATTTTTTCCCCTTTTTATTTTACAAAAAGTTAATATTTAACCGGTACGAATTAAATGATTTTTAGAATACAAAAATAAATTTATTATCTGAAATCACTCTACCACATTAATTTTGCTCTTCCATTTAATATTTTATCGCTTTTGTTGTTTTCAATTACCATGATAAATATTTTTCATGAATGAATTGTGTATTTAGTGGGAACTTATCGGTTCAAACATCTAATAGTAGATTTTTTTTTTTTTTTGATATAAATACATGGATAATGCTATTTTGAAGATCATCAACATGTTTAACTAGCAACAATGGCAAGTCAAAAACAAAACGTCCCTTATCATTCAGCAACCTCTATTTCTTTATATGTTCTCTTAGTTTATATATTCTTAAGCTCTATTTATTATTACAATAATGGTTTGGATAATTTTGCCTTTTCTTCTCGACTAGGACTTAGAAATAATATTATTTTTTAATTTTTATTTATTTATTTACCTAGCTTGAGCTATAATGTAGCTCGTTGGGTGATAAAAAATCCCGACTCAGGTCAACGATACTTTCTAAATTTTGTGTCCTATCCAAGTTGAGAAGTAACTCTTTTAATTTCTAAACTGTTAATTTTAATTTTTTCGAGTTTTTGTGAAATAACTCTGATGAGAAGAAAAAAAAGGTGTTAAGAGACCCTCGTTAAACAACCACTATGTCATAGAAAGTGCGTATACACTTGACAAAACGACTTCTTCTTTAAAGAGTAAAGAGGGATCAACAACTTAGTATCTTGTTTTCTTCACTGCTTCTTTTTGACTTTTTTTTTTTTTTTACATGAGATAGGCAATTTGTCTTTTCAGAGCTATCGGTCCAATAAAAAAGAATTCTTGTGGGTGAAGCGGTAGCGGAGCTCAAGTGGTAATGCAAGTTCAGAAAGAACACCAACAATGAAAGCTGGGTCGACACTGACATTGAGAGACAAAAGTTAGGTGAGCGAATGAGATTAGATACCCCAGTAGTCCTAGCCGTAGGGCCCAGCAAGTGGGGGAATTTTGTTCTGAGGCTGCGTTTCATTCCAGCAGCAACATTATATGGTTCAAAACGTCTTCATCTTTATGTAATGGTCATTGGATAAGCTGCGGAGCCTTGATTGGGCCAGTGATCTCTCCAGAAATTGATGTTTTCGCCATATTCTGGGATCCACTTTTTATTTTATTTATTTTTTATGCCAACTACGAAGGCCATCAACAAGCTAGACCATGGAAAATTGAAACTTAGCTAATTTACTAAAGCAGTCAACCTCATAAAATTAATTTTAGTTCCGTAATTGCAAGCCACAACTAAAGTAAATTGAGCGAGTGTGGTATATACTACTATATTCTATCTCAATTAAAGATCCACTTTAAAAATTTATTTGTGCACTATAATTCTTGAACGATGAACAAGAATATTACATTAAGCACCAATTTGGGCTCTATTTTTTCAAACATTCTTTTTTTTTGAAAACTTATTTTCAACTACACATTTTTCCATAAAAATTTTTTACAAGTAAACTAAAAAAATTTTTCTTATTTTTTAACCACCCATTTTTCAAAAATTACTATTTTAGAATATCATGCCATTTTTTGAAATTACTATTTTTTAACCACCCATTACCCGTTTTGAACCATATAATGTTGCTGCTGGAATGAAACGCAGCCTCAGAACAAAATTCCCCCACTTGCTGGGCCCTACGGCTAGGACTACTGGGGTATCTAATCTCATTCGCTCACCTAACTTTTGTCTCTCAATGTCAGTGTCGACCCAACTTTCATTGTTGGTGTTCTTTCTGAACTTGCATTACCACTTGAGCTCCGCTACCGCTTCACCCACAAGAATTCTTTTTTATTGGACCGATAGCTCTGAAAAGACAAATTGCCTATCTCATGTAAAAAAAAAAAAAAAGTCAAAAAGAAGCAGTGAAGAAAACAAGATACTAAGTTGTTGATCCCTCTTTACTCTTTAAAGTATTGTTCGAAAATAACCATGATTAGTTGTTAGTGAAACCCACAACGTTTTCCAAGATGGGGAATAGTTCAAACCAAAGGGTAAATAGTAAAATCCAGTTACACTTACTCTAGAGTGATTGGCCCCTAGTAATGAGAACTACGAAAATGATAACACAGATGTAAACTCAAATCGTTAATCACACCATCTTAGTGCTAGTAAACAACTTCCGACTATTTTTTGTCAATGGTCTTAGAATTGAACATTTCAAAGGCCTTGAAATTAAATTTGGATTAGCCCAATATCTAAGACTACCGGGTCAAAATACTTTGGACCAAATTTTAATTGTAATGGTTGAAGAACGTTGAAGCAAGTTTGTTGAAATTTCTAGAGTCATAACGTGGCAAAAACTTTGAAGCAGAACATAGTTCCATTTTTTTTCTCCCTTTGACTAACCATAAATGGGACATCAAATAAAATGAAATTAGAAGCAAACAAGACAAGACAAGTCGAACAATATATGCGTAGTTTAGATGTGTTCTAATGGTCATGATCGCGAGTAATATTGAAATTTGAGTAGCTTGATTCGTTATTGTACTTATTTATTAGTTTGTCGAGTCAAGCCTTGACCCCAGTAGACAAAATAAACAATTTTTTTTTTTTTTATTTACCTTTCAAGGTAACAAATAGTTTTACAATGCTAATTCCTATATTTAACCTCCTCAAGCTACTATATGTTGATTCTCTTTGGAAACTTTAATGGAGACAAGAAAAAGTGTTCCAAATAAGTGAATCTTGGCTAGCCTGGTTTGGCTAACCGTAATACAACCTTCTAGTAAAATATGCCTCTCGATTTACTGTGAGATACATATAGTTTTGATTACTTTTCTAAATGACTTTGACCTTTTAAGATGAAATCTGAATCTTAATAATGGCTTTATTTAGTCTAGATAACCACTTCGTCTCAAAACGTATAGTAGAAAAAGTTGAAGGAACTGATTATGATCAGAAAGGCGTTTACAAACTCAAGCTTAAAGGAAGTATAATGCAAGTTTCTTTAGATTAACAACCTTAGCCAAATTACATTTAAAACTCTTATTGACCTTTCTGGCAGACATGCATTAATAAGATTGCAAAAGTGTAAAAGTTCTAGGGAGGCTTTTGTAGTTACCAAATATATATATATAGAAAATGAAAATGTCCTAAATCTGGCTTGAAGGCTTTAAGTATTTTTTCTTGATCATTGTAAAGGTTTAATGAGCTGATATCACTGCTCTTTCCTATCATAACTGAGAAGTTCTTCCAGCAACTTGTCATCCAAGTACTCGAATTCAAACACTTGTCTTCCATTTTCATCTCTCTGATCCTGCATTGAACCCGAAGACGAGGCGAAATGTGATGAGCTAATAGGCATGTTGTACTCTTCCGGGAAGTTAAGGATTGCCAAATGACCCCTCATGGTATATGCTGCCCTGTCATAAGCTTTAGCCGCCTCCTCTGCCGTGTTAAACGTACCTAGCCAAACTCGGGCTCCTTGCCTGGCTGAGTCCCGTATCTCGGCCGCATACTTCCCCCACGGCCGCTTCCGAACGCCTCTATACTTAATCTCTCTGTCATCCTTCTGACCGTCCTTCCCTCTGTTACTAGGTTGTTCGTCCATGGTTAAGGTTTTTCAGAGTGATATTATTGGCCCTTATAAGTAATGGAAAAGTCCAATAGACAGCATGGTTTGGCAAAAAGATGGGTCCAAAATTTTCCACGTGGAATATCGACAGAATGTTGCCACGTGGATAGAATCTCCCATGTAGACCAAAATTTGCATTCAGTGTATCTGACTGGTCAATGTGGTGGCTTTGAAACTATACTTTTGCTTTGGTTCTCTCCTTTACTTTTCATGTCATGTGATGGAAACAAATCAAGAAATACCAAGAAAAGTGTGTAAAAAGTGTACGTTTAAGAATTTATAGGCTCACGTGCAAATTTATTTGTAGCATGGTCTAAATTGGATGTTGAACTATTGGATTTTAATTCGTCGTATGGACTTACATATATAATTAATTATGTATAAATGTTATATTAAGGTTAAGTCGTTTAAAATGATCTAATAAAGAATTAAAGTTAATAAGTTTTGGCATCTAAATAAAGTGTGAATCTAAATATGTATAGAGAGTAGATCCAGTAGGACTGTATTTCATGATGGGACTATATATATATGATTCTCATTATATGTGTCATCCTATCAATATAAGAATAACAAAAGAAAGTATATTGAAGAGAAAGATCTGAAATCCAAGAATCAAGAACAAGTAATCAAGATCAATAAGTTGTACTCTAGAACACGCAATTTAAGATCCATTATCAAAATCTAAAATTAAAAAAACAATTCCCAATAAATTAAGGTATATTTCCCACTTTATAATTCATTTGGTGATTTGATTAGAGGATGTTGGCAATATAGAAGAAGGTTTTCAAGTTCTTGAGATTTAAAGTTTTATACAATCTAGTAAGTGATATTAGAGTCAGCTTCATGTTAAATTATTGAGATTAAAGAAAGAATTTTAGGATTGAAATTCATACTTTGGATTTTTAAAATTTTGGAATGTGAATTTCAAGTCATAAATTTCAAAAACTCAAATTTTTTCGAGATTTTTTTTTTGGAAAAAAGGTGAACATGGGCAGTTAGAGCCACATTTGGGCGCTACAGTGCCTAGTGGCTGCCCTTGACAACGCGACCTAGCAGAGTAGCGCTGGTTTCCCATCGTGGCTGCGCCCAATTTTGGGCATAGCGATGCCCATGTTTTTAAAATTAATTTGTTTTGTTGAAAACAAGAAGAAGAAAAAAAAGATGACAATCAAACTTAAATCATGGTAATAATTTTTTTTTTCAAATTACTAATTTTCTAAAATAAATTAGTTAAAACAACATATTACCAAAGTAACTTTTCTTGTCTAAATTGATTTATTTTGAATATTAGGATGGTTGTGGCTGGCCCAAAGGAAGGTAAATATTTGACCGAATTACATAAACACGAGTGGTAATAAAAATGTGAAAATTGTAAATTTTTTTTATGTGAACAATAAGTCGGTCCAAAAATAGATTTTTTGTTTGACATGGTTTATTGTGAATAATTGATTACTGCACTAAGAATACCACTTATAAGTTAATATTTCTGTCCAAAAATTAAATGCCAATGTTGTGCTCGATCTCTTGTGATGGTGCACACTGTTATTTAAATTTATTGATTGATTACTATGGATTTTTATGTGAACATGGCGTTTTGATTTAAGTTTTCGATTAAGTTAATCAATCTACTTTTACAATATCTACCAACATCAATTTCATTCATGTGCTTAATGGAACCAAATTTTAAGGACTAGAAATAGAACTTCTATATCATTATTGGTTGCTTGGATCTAGATTTTGTGTCAACCCACTGCTTACGGATAAGAGTTCTGCAAGTGAAATACGGGACTTTGATAAGTGAGATCGTTCAGACCGCATAAGTCTCATGATCATGAAGCGTGGAATTTCAGTAACATTTAGGGGCGTTGTGTTCAATAAGATAACTACTACTAAAGGATGTTATAAAGAAATTTAAAAATGCTTTGCAAAAGGCAATAGGTCGAAACTAGTACGCTTCTGGTGAACTTAGTTTCACTACAGTATAATTCTAAAGAAAACATAAGTACATCATGGGGATGTCTCATCTTGCTTCAAAATTAAAGACATTATAGTTTTAGTTGTCTGATGACTTCTTCAGGCATTTAGTTTTGATTTCTTTTCCTGTATAATTCAGCTATGAGCTCATTTCATATTGTGTGCAAGAAGAATTGCTAAAGTAAGATAGAATTGAAAGAACTCACTTGGCAAGTACCTCTGAGAAAAAGTTCAAGAAAAGAAAGAACAAAAAAGTTGCATCTGGCTCAGCTCAAAAGAAATCACAAAAACCTGAAAAGGATAAATCATCTAGCTATTAATTTTATGAAAATTTGGGACACATGTAGATGAGCTGTACTGAATATCACGCTTGGGGGTGTAAAGAAAGTACACATTTCACTTTGATTTGTTTTGAGATTAATTTAAATTCAATACCTAAACACACTTGGTGGATAAATTTCGGTTCCACTATTTAAATAAGCATGTCTATGTGGGGTTTTCTGAATAGCCGAAAGCCAATTGATGCTGAAATATTAATCTATGTGGACGATAACAAATTAGTTAAAATCGAGGCTATACAAATTTTTAGGTTATTGTTAAAGACTTATTATTATTTAGATTTGAAAGAGATATTTGCGGTACTGTCTTTTAGACAATTTGGTTTATGTTTCTACATTGGACAAATTCGATTACTATTGTTCAATATGAAATAGTTAGTTTATTCTTTTTCTTATATTCAAATATTTTGGGTACCAGTTCTTTATCTGGTTATAATAATTTAAATTTGCTTTATACGGTTGTCTCTTAAAACAAATATTGCATGTGAATTCAGGCGGTATTAGACATAAATTAACCAATGGGAATTCTACTTCATTTTGGTACAAGCGATTAGGTTACATCTTTCAAAAGAGAGGAAAATTTTGTATCAAAAGGAATTCTTGATCCTCTTAGATTTTCTGACTTAAGTATTTGTGTTAATGACATTATGGGGAAATGAACAAATATAAGGAGATTAGGTGCTAATAGAATTTCAGACGTTTTAGAACTAATTCATACAGATATATGTGGATCATTCCTTTCAACTTATTGCAATGGTCAACATTCATTTATTACGTTCATAGGTGAATTTTCTCGTTATAGCTACGTGTATCTCATTCATTAAATTCCCAATCACTGAACATGTTTAAGGCTTACAAGGATGAGGTTGAAAACCAACTCAACAAAGGAATAAAACATGTCAGATCTGGTTATGGTAGTAAATACTATGGTGATATGATGGATCAGGAGAACAATGTCCAGGGCATTTTGATAAATTCTTAGAGGAATGTCGAATCATCCTACTACAAATTAGAATATTTCTAGGTTGAAGCACTAAAAACTACAGCTTAAATTCTTAATAAAGTTCCAAGTAAAGTAACTATCAAAATCCCTTATGAACTTTGGACAGGCAAGAAGCCTAGTTTTAAACACTTGCACATTTGGGGTTTTTCAGCTAACGCAAGACCTCATAGGCAAAGTAAAAGGAAATTGGACTCAAGAACCATCAATTACTATTTTATTGGATATTTTAAAAGGTTAAATGATTACAAAATTTTTATAAGATCCTACAATTAGGTCAGTTTTCGAAATAGAAAATGTTCAATTCTTTCAGGATGTGGAATTTGCAGGGAGAGATAAGGTTTTAAGGTTGAGAATTTTGTCTTTGAGGAAGAATATGTATACATCCCTTCTGTTGCAATTGATAATGATCAGGATCAGAGACAAATTTTTGCTCTAAATCTTGTTCAAGAAGCAGTTTCACATCAAGATAACGTTACAAAACCCCCTATACAGAATCAAGTGATTGTTCCAGAAAAACAAACTCAATAATATCAAAAATAAATGTCATTAAGGAAATCCACTAGAGAAAGGAAAAAAGGGAATTTCAGATGACTTTATAGTCTTTCTCTAAGAAGAAGATTAAATCAACTTTCATCAAATAATGCAAAAAAATAATTCTCAGGAGTGGATTGATACAATAATAAAGAGATAAAGTCTATGAAACACAATGACGCTTGGAAACTCATCCCATTCCTGAAGGTGCGAAGCTCATTGGTTGCAAATGGATATTTAAAATTAAGAGGGATTCAAAGGGTGATGTAAATAGATATAAGGATTGTCTTGTTGTAAATGGCTTTACTTAAAAAGATGGCATTGGCGTTAAAGAGACTTCCTTTTCGATTTATACGAACGACTCTTTTAGGACTATTATGACACTTGTGACACATATTAATCTTCAGCTACATTAAATAGTTTACAAATTAAAGAAATTCATCTATGGGCTTAAGCAGGCTTTCCATCGTGGTATTACAAATTTCATGAAATAATTATCTCATTTGATTTTGAGATGAATTCAGTTGATGATTGCGTATATCACAAGTTCAATGGAAGTTAGTATATTTTTCTTATATTATATATCAATGACATACTAAATTTACATCAGATGGTTTACAAATTAAAGAAATCCATCTATGGCTTAAACGGTTTCCCGAAATGGTATCACAAATTTTATCAAATAATTATCTCATTCGATTTTGAGATGAATTCAGTTGATGATTGTGTATATCACAAGTTCAATGGAAGTAAGTATATTTTTCTTATATTATATATCAATGACATACTGATTACCTGCAATGATATGCCTAATCAAGAGATTTCTGTCATGGAATTTTGAAATGAAAGATCATGGAATTTTGAAATGAAAGATCTTGGGACGCCTCTTTTGTGTTAATGAATACATATATACTGAAATCGTTCTCGAGGTATGTTATTACCCGGCCTCCGAGGTCGACTAATCCGAGTTATTATATGTGACAAGTGTATAATAATGGGAGTTCGGAAAGGTAAGGTCAGCTCGGATAGAACTTGGCTTGTTCAAGAAGTTTGTGTAGTTTATCGAGGTTAAAGGAAACATGATGATTGAAGATCACTGGCGAAATATATAAACTACCAATCAGTGAACT